CCAAACACCTCACTGATGCTTACTTTAAGAAGAAGCTGCGGAAGCCCAGACACCAGGAGAGCGAGATCTTCGACACCGAGAAAGAGAGATACCAGATTTCAGAGCAGCACAAGGTGGATCAGAAAGCGGTGGACTCACAGATTTTGGCAAAAATCAAAGGTGTTCCTCAGCTCCGGGGCTACCTGCGATCTGTTTTTGCTCTGACAAATGCAATTTATCCTCATAAATTAGTGTTCTAAATTTCTTAGTAAGAACCTAATTAAATACCTGATACATTAAAAAAAAAAATCTGAGATAGAGGATCTCAGGATAAATCCTGAGGGGATTTCACTGACCTTATCAGACCCAAAAGCTACAATTCTTGTTGCATAGTTCCTGCTTACCTTGGTCTTAACCATCCAGCAGAAAAGTATAAAAACGAAATATAAGAAGTAAAACCATGCTGTTATGTTGAGCTGTGGGGGACTCAGGTCAACAATTTCTGACATTACCAGTGAAGTGGAAGACCTAATACTATTATGGGCTACTGGACTCTTTTAGAATATTTTGCTGAGTTTATGCACTTATAATATTCAAATAATGGAACTTAACAATAAAAGGGTATACAGATGAATGTCTCTTTTGTATCTGTGTATTCAAAGTGGTTACCATAGATACATAGTTACATTCTCTTAATGAATAGAGGGATTTGTTCTAATGGTATTTGTAAATAGGATATCATGTCTGCATCTTGTATAGCAATTAACCACTAGGAAGAATGTATGCAATGTGTTAATTATTGAAACTGTCCTACCAATTTGGTTTGAAACTGTCTCATTGCTATTTGTTTCTCAATAAAATTATGGGGAAAAAAAAAAGAAAGATCATTGGAGGGGCTGGGGATGTAGCTCAATGGGAGATCACTTGCCTAACATGCACAAGACCCTGAATTCAACCTCCAGTACACAAAAGAAAAGAACAGTCTTTGAATCAGAGTGTAAGAGCTTATTTCTGGACTATGAATTCTCTTCCATTGATTTCTTTCTGTCCTTCTACTAGTGCCACTTTTTGGTTTTTTTTTTTTTTTTTTTTTTTTTTTTTTTTTTTTTTTTTTTGGTACCGGGAATTGAACTCATGACTTGTGCTTGCCATGCAGGAGCTGTGCTGCTGAGCTAAATCCCTAGCCTGACTTCTGTTTTTTTGTTTTTGTTCATTTGTTTTTTTAGACAGGGTCCCACTGTGTAGTTCAAGTTGGCCTCCAAGTCTTGATCCTCCTGACTCAGCCTGCTAAGTGCTGGAATTATAGGTGTGCATGATCATGCCTGGCTCACACTGATTCGTAATATATTTTTATAATATGTTTTGAGTGTTAGTCTTCCAACTTTGCAAGTATGAGTCCTTCAGCTTTGTTCTTCTTTCCTAATTTTTTCTGGCTATACTAAGTCTCTTGTATTTCCATAATGAATATTTTAGGACCAGCTTACCATTTTCTGGAAAAAAAAAAAGGAATAGTGTTTTTAATATTGCAGTCTTGTGAGCTCATTTTTTAAATAGCTCTGATAGTCTCTAAAAAACTTATTTGTATTTTCTGTCTCAGACTTCTTTTTACTCCTTCTTTTCCAATACGTATACATTTTGTTTGTTTTGTTACCTAATTGTGCTGACTAGAAAACTTAGTAAAACGTTGAATAGAAGTGGTGGCAGCAGACATCCTTACCTTGTTCTGATTTTAGGGGGAAAACATTAGGACTTTATTATTGAATAACTGGTTTTTTGGTAGGTAACCTTCCTCAGTTTAAGGAAGTTTGATAAATTATTATTATTATTATTATATTTTATTTTTTTGGTGGAACTGAGGATTGAACTCCAGGCAACTGCTTATTTTAATGAGACATCTCCCTGGCCCCTGATAAATTATTTTTAATCATGTATTCTAAATATGTTTCTATGTGATTAATATAGTGTAATAGAAATACAGCGGGAGAAAGAGCTTAGTGGCATAAGTGCTTGCCTGGCAAGCACAAGGCCCTGAGTTCTATCCCTGGTACTGAAAAGAAAAAAAAAAAAAAAGAAATACATATAAGTATATAGAAGGGGCTGGTGAGATGGCTCAGTGGTCTAAAGCACCTACTCAGAACAAGCTTAGCAAAGCACAGGGACCGCGGTTCAATCCCTCAGCACCACATGCCAGCCAGCCCCGCCCCCTGGTGAGCTGAGCTGGCCACACACACACACACACACACACACAAATAAATAAATAAATAAAAATAAGTATATAGAAACAAAAAATTGCAATGGTTGCACATTGCTCAGCCATTAGGGTGACACATATGTAGCCAGGAGTCATGTTGCACACTTGTAATCCCAGCACTCAGGAGGCTCTGCAAGATTGAGATCAGCATGGCAAATAGTGAGTTCAGGGCCAGCCTGGGCTACATAGCAAGACCCTGTCTCAAAAAAGCAAACGCAAACCCCAAAACAAAAAACAAAACAAAAACAAAAACAAAAAAAAACAAGTCACGTATTCTACATAGTGGGGTAATAGTTGTGCTCCTGGATCAGCTCCTGTTTTGTCACTTACTGTATATTACATGTAAAAGGGTAAGTGCCAATATTTTTGCCCTAGCCCTTCAAGATCAGTGAGGACTCAGGACATTCGAGAATTCTGCAGTGACACTGTAACTCAGTGGTGTCCCAGATTTTCTGATCAAGGAGATTATGGGGCCATTGAGGAAAGTGATCAATGATGTAGAGTGTGCCTAAGGAGAGTCACCTAGAGAGAAAAAATTCTCTCAGGCTTTCACAGAGAGCAAATTGGTCAAGCAATGGCCATGACCCATCCAGATGGCTGACACTGACAGAAGATCCACAAGGTGCTGTATGCTGTATGTACATGGTTCCAGGGTAAATCCTGAGGGGATTTGACTGACCTATCAGACAACAAAAGTTACATTTTTAGTTATTTAGGTCTTGCTTTAACTTGGTCTTAACCATCCAGCAGAAAAGTGTAACCACAAAGTGTAAAAAGTAAAGCTATATTAATATGCTGAGCTGTAAAAGGCTCAAGTCAACAACTTTGGACAATAGTTGTGCTGGTAACTCACTACTATTATAGACTATTGGACTATATTGGGTTATTTTTCTGAATTCAAGTAGCTATAATATTTGGACTGGCATCAAGTATGAAAGACCCTTTAAAGACTTCTCCAAATACAACTTCTCTAACAGCAATGGAACATCCATCTCTGACAAAACAAAACAAAAAAGAGGGATATAATAAAGGACCATTTTGTATTGAAAAAATATATATAGTATATGTGTATACAAGATAGTTAGGGTAGATATACAGCTACTTTCTCTTAGTTCAATGAGAAGAAAAGGGACCAGGCAGATGGCTCAGTGGAATAAGTGCTTCCCTGGCAAGCCCAAGGCCCTGAGTTCAATCCCTGGTTCCGCAAAAAAAAAAAAAAAAGAAAAGAAAAAGAAAAAGAAAAAAAATCAATGAGAAGAAAAGTTTGTATTAATAGTGTTTAGACGACATTTCATGTCTATATCTTGTCCTCTGAATGACTACTACGAAGACAACAATATACAATGTATTAGTTATTGTAACTGTCCTACTAACCTGTTTTTGAAACTGTTCATTGCTATTTTATCTCTTTTTCTCATTAAAATGAATAAAAAATAAATTAAAAAAATTAAAAATTTTCAAAAAACGAACGAACAAAAAAATGGTGAGAGCTCATTCCTGAGCCTATTCTGTTATAAGAAAATGAAGATAATATGCTACTACTTTTTAAAGTAAGTGTGAGGGGCCCGGGGAAATAGCTCAGTGGCATAAGCACCTGCCGGGCAAGTGCAAGGTATGAAACAAAGTAAAGGTGAGGAATAAATGAAATAATGGGAAAAATTTTTTTTTGTTTTTTGGTACCAGGGATAGAACTCAGGGCCTGTGCTTGCCAGGCAGGTGCTTAAGCCTCTGAGCTATTTCCCCAGCTGGAAAATTCTTATAAAATGCTCAGGGTAGTCATACAGAGCACAATTGAAAATTAATAGGAACATTTAAAATGTTTATAATAGACACTTAAATCATTGCCCGTTTATTAATTTTTTTTTATTTCTTAGACTGAAATGACTAGATTAAATACTCCTCCTTTTTCTCCCCCTCTCTTCTCCTTCCTCCTGTCTCCCCCTCCTGTTTTGGGGTGGGGGGCTTGAACTCTAGGCTTTTGCACTGAGCTGTATTCCCTGCTCTCTTTTTTGTTTTGCTTGCTTGCTTCTTTTTTTTTTTTTTTTTTTTTTTTTTTGTGCTGGGAATTGAACTCAACCTCACGCTTGCCAGGCAGGCACTGTGCCTCTGAGCTATATCCCTAGCATCTGTTTTTTCTATTTTTTCTTTTGAGACAGGGTCCTGCAATCCTCCTGCTTTAGTCTCCTAAGTGCTGTAATTACAAGGATGTATCTCCATGCCTGGCCAAATAACTTCTTTTTTGAGGATAGCAACTAAACTAAACTCTTTTACCCAAATAAATTTGTGAAATTTGAATAATCATGTTGTCATATGAATTTTGTAGGAGATTGAATTGGAAAGTAAATTAGAGTTAAATTTTCTAAGAAGTTGGTATATGTATCCAGGAATTTTATCTTTTGTCTTCAAGCCCATGGGTGTCCACTGAAGATCTGAGTAGGAGGGAATCATGAGCGATAGTTATGGAGGGTTAATTTGCTATGCCTCTCAGACCTTCCCTGACCACTCCTGATGGTTAGAGCCTCCTGCATGCTTACATGGTACACAGTACAGTTTTTTTGTCCTGTATTACAGGTACTTAGCAGACTGTGTGTAGATGTCTTGTTTTGGTATTTCTTTTCCTTCCAAGAATAGAGCTCAAACATCACTGTTTAGCAGCGTCTGTTGTCTATCACTTTCTTACTGGCTGACTAAATGAATGTTTTTTTCTCTGCTTTTTTGGAAACTGACTTGCTCCTTTGTGTTCCCTTCATGGTTCTTGCTGGACTCCAAGGAGGAGGCGTCTCCGAATTCCTTACTTGATATCTGCTTGAGTTTCCTGACCACTCACCTTGAGAAATTCTGCTCAGCAAGGCAAGATGGAACGTTGTGTCTGCAGGAACCTGGGGTATTTCCACAAGAGGTGGCTGATCGACTGCTTCAGACCATGGCTGTTCATGGTAAGACATTAAAAAAAGCAGGAAGCAAAAATTATGTGAGTTAATTGGTACTAGACTTTGAAGTACTGCTTTGGGCATTTAATTATCTTCTTAGAAATAATAGAAAAGACCAGATGAACTTGATTCCAGGAAAAGGAGTTCATTAATTTTTATCTGTCCAGCCTCTTACAGTGTAATATAGAATAAGCATTTTGTTTTGTAATCTGAGGAAACTTGTTTTTTTTTTTTTTTGAGAAGCCATTCTTGTCAAAAATGACTTCTATCATTACCAAATACTCATTTAGAAGTCTTTAGGTATAAAATATCTTTTATTTGACAGTGGGAGAATTAATACTATCATGGAAAAACTAGTTTCTCCTTATACCCTTTAAAAGGGGAAACCATGGCTAATTTAACATTTGCATTTTCTAAAGCATATTCTAAATTGAGAAGTATCATCTGTGAAATGTATATTGTCCTCTATTTTTATGTGTTTTAAATTGAAAGAGATACACCTTTATTATATCTTTCAGACTCTTACAAGTGGAGAATAAAACTTGTTCATAGCTATAAAATAGAATGAAAATTTGGCCATAATAATGGCTATCATTTGTGGATTGCCTGTTTTGTGCCAGGCATTTTACATATGTAGCTATTATTACCTCCCTTAATACACAGATACAGAAACAAAGGTTCAGAGCAGTAACTTCAGGGGCCAGGGAGATGGCTCAGTAGGATAAGCACTTGACTGGCAAACGCAAGGATCTGAGTTCAATCCCTGGTTCTGCCAAAAAAAAAAAAAAAAAAAAGATCAGATTCAGAGCAGTAACTTCCTGCCAGTCACACTGCTAGAGAATGGCTTGGGTGTAGGTCTGTCTGTTGCGGTTATACATTCTTCTCACTGTGCCACGCAGCCTTCCTGCACTTACAGTTGAGCCAACCCTGCCTCTGTGCGCCAGGTAAAGGTTTATGCTTTTGATGTTACTTTGTATGTATAGGAAAAATGCTGTTAAGCATATGTGTAGATAATAAATACCAGGGAAGAGTGTGGGAAAATATGGCTATAATTGTGGGTTTTTTTTTTTTTTCATAATTTAGGAAAGAAGACCTCTATAGTCCTTGGTTTTCACTAGTTTGCTGAAAGCCCGTCAGCCCTTTGAATTTTTCCAATCCACCATAGGAGCCAGGGTAAATTTCATGTATTTGGTACAGGGTTTCACTATGCAGCTGGGACTCATAGTAATCCTTCTGTTTTCAGCCTCCCCAGCACTGGAATTACAGGTGTGCACCACCACGCCTGGTCTTAATGACCAGCTCAGTGTGTCTGGGGGTGGGGCCAGCAAGGCATGTGGTGCTTGGGATCAAACCTGGCCCCTGAGCTTGCCTAAGCAGTCACTTAGTCCGCTGAGCTATCTTGTCAGCTTCTAGTATTTCTTTCTAATCTGAATCTAATGATTTTGCTGAGCATATTCAGCTTAAAAACTAGTATATAAAAAAGTGTTAACTGACATTTTAACTTTGCCAGATTCAATTATTCTTTTGAAATATGGTTAGTGGTAGCTAATAATAGCAGTTAACATTTATTGGATACTTATTATATTATGGACAAAATAATGAAAGCACCTTTTAAGTAAATGCAATTAAATAATTGTCCTTAAGAATAATGTTTTAGATATGCTGTATGCTTGATCAAAATGTATTTTCCAATCTTCTGCTTCAACTGCCTTCTGTTGAGGAAAATGGGACGTAACTTGCTGCCCTACTTGTATTTTCCCAACATGATGACCTGCTCTCCTTACCAAAGCCAATTCCGAGTTATTTTGGACGGTGGTTCTGTTGAGAATGTACAAGAGAACATGGTGCCAATTCTGGTTATAACTTTGAAATGCTGTTTCATAAATTTTTCTGTGAAAAGTTTTCATAATAAAGTAGAAAAAGAGCCAAGCACAGTAGTACAAGCCTGCAATCCCAGTTACTTGGAAGGTTGAGGTAGGAGGATCCAAGTTTAAGGTCAGCATGGATGGCATAACCCAACTGCCTCAAAGTAAATTTTTTTTCTTTATAAATGAGGTCTCCTTTCTTTCCAGCTTCTTTCAAGATTTTTCTGATATTAGTTTTCATGTTTTTCAGTTGTTATCTTTGGGTTTGTTTTGTTTGGCATTCATGCATCTTGTTCAATGTATAGTCTTTGTTTTGCCAAATTTGGAAAGTTTTTGGGCATTACTACTTTAAGAACTTCTTGAAGCCTGCCCTCTTTCTCCTTTCTTTGTTGATTCCAATGACACAGATGATTTAGGGTCTTTATTTGAGGGAATGCAATAGTGCATGTTGTATAAATTTGGCTATTTCTTTTATCTTGTTTGCCACTGACTTTTTTTTTTTAATGTGTGTGTGTGTGTGTGTGTGTGTGTGTGTGTGTGTGGCCAGCTCAGCCCACCAGGTGGCGGGGCTGGCTGGCATGTGGTGCTGGGGGATTGAACCGCGGTCCCTGTGCTTTGCTAAGCTTGTTTGAAGTAGGTGCTTTAGACCACTGAGCCATCTCACCAGCCCTGCCACTGACTTTTTTCTTCTTCTATTCCCTCAATTTGATTTTAAGCCCAAGCATTATCACCTTTTTCAGTTGTAAACTTTTCATTTGATGATGCTATATGTTTTTTATTTCCTTGCTAAAGTTTTCTGATCTTCATTTGTCTCAACCATGTTTATAATTGCTCACTTTTGAAAATGTATTTGCATTTTGATCATTGAGCTTTTAAATCTTTTATGTATTTAGTACAGGGTCTAAAAGGTCTGTCTACACAGATTGGACTCATGGTGATCCTCCTGTTTTCAGCTTCCCAAGTACTGGGATTACAGGCATGTGGCACCATGCCAGTCTCAGTTGCTGTCTCAGCACAGTAGGCCGGGGATCAACCCCAGTCCCTGGGCAGACACTTTAGTCTGCTGAGCTATCTAGCTGACTCTAAGCTTTTAAATCTTCATCAAATAATTTAAAAAGTTGCTTTACCTCAGTTGACATCTTTGTTATCTTTTATTTTATTCTTGGTATGATGAGTAATTTTTGATAGAAACCTGGACATATTGCATACTACCGTGTAGGAGTTGGTACTCTGGCTGGACACCTCTAGCTGAGAGGGCAATGAGTACATCATTTCCATTTCCTCATCACTGACACTGTTGGGAGCAAGTGATCTCAGTACTGCTGGGCAACTGCCAAAGTCCTGACTTCTCACCAGGCTTTCTGTGGCATTACCCCCACAGGCAGAGTGGAGGACTTCATTACTGCTGGGTGGATGTCAAAGTTGGGTCATCCCAGATGGCATCCACTGACACCATAGGGGTGAAGGTGGGTCTTACCAGCTGGTAGGGACGAAAGTCCTGGCTCTTTTCTCTAATGCCTCCTTGTGGGGAGGCTGGAGCAGTTACAGCCTTGTGAGGGCAGAAATGTAGGCTCCCTTGGCATTTACTGGTGCAGATGGGAGTCAGGGGTCATAAATATTCCCCCTCTATGGTATTTACCTGAAGTAGAGCACTTATTGTCCAAAAATGGCCAGTCTTGCTTACTGTATCTTCCCCAGTACTTTGGCTAGTGTGAGCACATGTTTTTGGAACTTGTCTGTGCTCATTAGTGTTTCTGTGGGGGTAGCTTCAACTTTAGGTGTAGGATACATGACCAGAAAAACACCCAGGATGCCACTGTATTTTTCTTCAGGTCCAGAGGCCCCCAGCTGGAGCACTTTATTTACCTTTCATTGTGTTGTAGCCACAACTCACCTTTCCAGCCTCATTTCTTGTCTCCCCATTTGCACACTTATATCCGAAGAAATGCATTACCTTGTCCCTCACATCTACATCTTCATTAGCGATTTTCTTCTCTTCTTTATCAGGGAAACATAGCTGCAGGTTTTCCTTTCCTTACGTTCAAGCAATCTAGAACTACTTGCTGTTTTGTAACAATGTGATGTGGCTTCACATCTGTAAGACTTTGTTCATTTGATGCTGCTCTTACTTTCCTTCTCCATTTTTGAATTCTTTTATCATCTTTGAAGGTCTTAATCATTATCTTCTCTGTCCAGTCTGCTCCAGATCTGTAGTTATAATGGATTACTTCCTTTCTCTGCTTTCATGGTACATTGTACTTGACACTGATATATCATATATCTTGGTTTTTTTGCGGAGCTGGGTATTGAACACAGGCCCTTGTGCTTGCCAGGGAAGCGCTTATTCCACTGAACCATCTTCCTGGCCCCTGTTTGTTTGTTGTTTGTTTGTTTTTTAATGTGTTTAGTACAGGGCCTATAGGATCTCACTACATAGATCAGACTCATAGTGATTCTCCTGTTTTCAGCCTCCCAAGTGCTGGGATTACAGGCGCGCGCCACCATGCCCAGTCTCAATTGCATTCTCAGCATGCCCCGGGGGCGGGGCTGGCAGGGCATGCCAGGGATCGAACCCCAGCTGCTGCACTCTGCCTAAGCAGGCGCTTTAGTCCACTGAGCTATCTGGCCAGCCTCATACATCTTGTTTTGTTATCATTGGATGTCTTTTTTTTTACTCTGAGTAATTATAAATCAAGTATAGAGGCATATCTTATTTTTTTGTATCTACAATATTTAATACTACTCGACCTATACTAATTGTTTAAGGCTGAGGATTTAACTCCGTGGCGCACTGCATGCCTGACAAGTATGAGGTCCTGAGTTAGATTCCTGATACAAATAGAAAAAGTTGTTCATGGACTGGGTGTTGTAGCACATGCCTGTAATCTCAGTTTGGTAGCACAAGCCTGTAATCTCTCATTTGGGAGGCTGAGGCAGGAGAATCACTCTAAGTTCAAGCCCATCCTGGGCTGTTTAATGAGTTCAAGACCAGCATGAATTACACAGCAAGACCTTGACTCAAAAAATCATTAAAAAAAAAAAAATTCTTCAGTGTTTGGAACCTCATCATGAAATTTACCCTGAAATAAACTTTAGGTGATTTAGAAGTCTATCTCTAGATCAGCACTGTCCAGTAGAAAA